GATCTTGTGGGAAGGATCTCTGATTATTTTGATTTTGAAAGGTATTTTGACCTTGAAAGTGGACCCGTCTATTATCTTGATACCATGGACGATCTGATTGCATTTGGCGACCTCTGAAGGAGTTATTGCTTTGTGATGGTCTAGGAGAAAATCGTCTACCTCGACCATTGGGATTAGGATCAAATGTTGGCCTTCGACATACTACGTTAAGATGACCTACCTGATGACAATTTGTGCAGTAGGGTCTACCTGTACTCGTGCGGCCATTGTACAGGTCCCGTGGAGGTCTCCTTTCGTTCCTCCTTATCCTGTCGGACATTTCCTCCAACATTCCACGTTGTTCTTCCATTTTGTCCATTAGGGTTTTCAATTGGTTGTCAGGGACGATGGCATTAATAGATTTGGGCACTCTGTCCTCTGATGAGATACTTTCATGAAGTTTTGCAAGGCGTTCCACATCGGCGACGGTAACGGGAGAGTGACTCAGTACATGACTTCTCATTTTAGGTGACAGGCCGCGAATTAATATGCGTATGTGTTCTCCGTCACCTATTTCAAGACGCGAACATTGGAGAGACACATCATTAAGATATGCGTCAATGGGTTCTCCAGCTTGATGCACGCGTTGCAATAGTTTGCTTTCGAGAGACCACTTTGGAGTGGATTCTATAAATTTTTGAACAAAGGCCGCGCGTAGGGCGTCCCAATTTTGTTTTGTTTCTTCCTCTAAATTGTCAAACCAAATCTCAGCAATGCCACTCAAAAACATTTTCAGGTAGTCGCACGTGCCCTGTGCGTCCCATCGTTGTGTTTGAGCATAAAGCTGATATTTGTCAATCCACGAGCGTGGGTTACTTACTGAAGAAGAGTGTGAAAAAATCATTGGTCGCGTGACCGAAGCTGCGCGAGGTCCTTGTTCCTGATTCATTTCCAGCGCCTGAAGGCGCGCTAATAATTGATCATTCATTTCATCCGCCATGTCTGGATGTTGTCTATTCAATCTCCCGTTAATTCGTCTGTACATGCAAGAGGGATCTAATCTTTATCTGTTTGTTAATTTATTTGAATTTGAAGATTGAAAGTCTTGATTAATTTTGTATTTTTCAATTGATTTGTTGTGATATAGAAAATATTAAACCTTAGGTTTCGGCTGGCAACGGCACCAATGTTGTAATCACTTTTTGGTGATTACAATCTTGTTTCCTACTCGAAATACTTATCAACCAACTCAGGATTTAAATCAATAAATAATTTCTATCTCTTTATTTATCTTTTTATTTCGTTGTAAAATTAATGTGATATCAATATACAGATTAGATCCCTGTACTGCCTGGCTACCTCGAGAACTCTCTAGAGACCAGCTCCCGTTCCTTATATATTTTATTGTAAATGGCCAGTGCCTTATGAATGTTTAAGATGTTAGGTCAACGGTAAGTAAAATGAATATTCAATGTCATAGTGCAAGAAGGGTCATAGGTTCAGGCAGTACAGGGTTAATAATTAATTATGTATGTAAATAACTGTTATGGTTTTTTATGATTGTGTCTGTTCCCTTGAGTCATAACACTACCCCCCATAAATATGTGGATTAGAGACCACAAAATGTAAACATTTCCAAAATACTGAAGTGTAAACAAATGCAGTATTGTAATTTTAGTATGTAACTGTATTGTAATTGCTTTAACATATTTTCTCTGAAATAAAATTAAATGGTTGGAAGTAATCTTTTCAATGTATCTTAAGCATGAAAATGTATCACCTACAATTTTGATTTTATTATTCTGAAATGAAGAATTGAGATATTTATCAATTATATATAGACTGATAGAAGTTATTGAATATTTAAGATACATAATGTCAAAATTCATTACAATAGCCAGCCACTGTTCAAAGATTCTGAGATAATCATTAAAATTAAAGGATTATCATAAAATGAAATCTGAACTGCTGGACTCTTAAGACACAGGATTACACAAATGATTGTTCTTCTGACCTTGAAAAACACCAAACATATTATTCTATGGGTTGAGAAAAATATAGAGTTTATTCCATGGCAAAATATATTCCCTTGTTTGATATCAATATTCTAGTTTCATACTGAAATTAAACCCTCTCTTATTGAGCAACTCTGTTGTAATCATGAAATAAATCTAGTATCCAAGGGTTGAGATACATATAGAGTTTATCCCCTGAGAAGATATGAAATAATCATTAAAATCAAAGGTTTGTCATGAAATAACGTCTGAATTGATAGACTAGAAAATAGGGATGACATAAAATATTGTGAGCAAAACACTGTGATAGTTTTTAAGAAAATTGTTTCAGTGCTCATATAATCATTTTAATAGTTGCATCTGTGCTTACCTTTTTGCTAATGCTCTTTCAGCCTCCCAAAATGTTATTGTAATACTATTGATGATTTAGTGAGATAAAATAAACTATAAATAAAAAATGCTTATATCTCAGAGTTATTATTATTTTATTATTAGCATCTTCAGTGATATGGATTTTTGACATGTGCCAACCAAGCAAATATCTGCATTCTATGGGCCATTGCATTCACATGGAAAACACATTCTTACTGTTTTAAAAATAAAACCCATAACAAAATTAAATAGATAAATTGGTATGCATTTTAAAATCATTTTCCAGTTGGAATTGTAGACGTCTGTCATTTATTTTGATTACCTTGTCACAGGGATATTCAAAAAATTAACTTCAAACTAACACCAACAGACTAAAATCATGAAAATGTTTTTTTTATTTTCTAATAAGAGAACCATGACGGACTCATCACTCCTATCTACAACAAATCCAATGATGATGAATTGAAAAATTCGTGCTTTTAAAAAGAATATCCTGAATTTCAATTACGTCTAATAAATAACTTAAAAATTGGTGCATGCCATTCGCCATTGCTGATGTGAATGAATTAATCACTGGGTTAACGTGATCGCGTCCCAATTGGGTTACAATTAATCAACATTTTTAAGTTGCGATTAACCACGCGAATTTAATTCTGTTTTATCGATGGTGCCAGGTATTCCCGGAAATACATCGTTGAAATTTGATATTATTTTAAGAAAAACAAAATAATCAAGCGGGAAATTAAAACCTCTGAATCAGACCTAATGTCGTATTGTCCGACGTCCGTATTTATTATATTATTTTTAGGATCTTCGGCGTCGTGGATTTTTGAGATATCTCATTATCTGTCTCTGTTTATATCAAAGTTCCTGCCGCCAAATAGCCTTGGATGCAGAATCAAACAGTTCAATTATCAGATGCTTGGTAGAACAAGATGATGCGTCCTATTTAAATTGATGAAACAATCGTGCGTAAATCGTTTTATTTAATCGTTTTTACACGTTTTATTAATAAATAACTCCCATACAACATACATTAAAATAAATATCTATGTCTTTAGTTATATTTAAAGCTGTTAAATTTGTTTTTATTTCGTTGCAGACGTGATAAAATTAATTATTGGGTCAAAATTAAAGTTTGGTCGCGCATTTGGGTTACAAATAACCACGAGTTACAATTGACCAAGCGAATCCGATTTTGTTCAAAAAAATATTCTAATGAAATAATATTACGAAACTGATTACATTTCCTGAAATCCCCACTCTTTCCCATCACAAATATATCATCAAAAGGTTTTTTAACCGAAAATTTTTCGTTTAAATGTAAAAAGAACAATGAATGCGATCGAAGGATAGATAAATCACGACCATGATATAATCATGTCAGATCATTTTTCCAAGTGGCCCATTTTCTCTCAAAACGGGATAATTATGTACAAAGAACGGTAAAATCGACCACTATACCAAGAAATCGCCCCCGGGGGACTTACTTATTTCTTAAAATTGTCGAATTTGGTGCACATTTATGAGTCGCCATGTGGGTTACAATTAACCACATGCACAACTTCAGTTAAGCATGACTTGACCAAAACGTCTTTATTTTGAATGAAATTCACCGTGGCGATTGTTTAGGGTAAGGATACTCTACATAAAAAACATTTTTGATTTTTGATCGATATTTTTTATTTAATGCACACTTTTAACATTTTTGGTCGCAGGGGTGCAATTAGCAATGGCATTAGTCTCGCGTGGGGGGTCAGGAAAACAGAAATTTTCGCTAATTTTTAGATCTTTCTGAAGTATAGCTTTATTATACTCAAATGAAAGGCAATTAAGAGAAGATTGCAAATATTGTATCTTTTTTCTGATTCGAGCCTCGTAAAATTCAAAATGGCCGTCTAATGTACGATTTCGCAATAATTTTTCGATCCCTTCAAAGTATGGCTATATAATACTCAAATTGAAGGAATTTTGGAGTAGATCACAATTATGGTAATATTTTTCAGATTTGTACCTCAGAAAATTCAAAATGGATTTTTTCAAGATGGCCGCCGCTTTAAAAGGCGGGACTTTTTCGCAAAAATCATAAATTTTTCATTCTAAACCAAAGTAATTTAAATATTATTGTTTGAAATTTTGGTAGTATATTCGCAACATCTATCTATTCCACATATATTCAGTGTTTTTCATCCTGACCCCCAGGGGCCATGTATGGGGGGTCAGGAAAACAGAAATTTTCGCTAATTTTTAGATCTTTCTGAAGTATAGCTTTATTATACTCAAATCAAAGGCAATTAAGAGTAGATTGCAAATATTGTATCTTTTTTCTGATTCGAGCCTCGTAAAATTCAAAATGGCCATCTAATGTACGATTTCGCAATAATTTTTCGATCCCTTCAACGTATGGCTATATAATACTCAAATTGAAGGAATTTTGGAGTAGATCACAATTATGGTATTATTTTTCAGATTTGTACCTCAGAAAATTCAAAATGGCTGCTTTGCAGGAATTCGCAATTCTAAAATCTAAATTTTTCAATATTAACCAAAGTAATGAGTATAATTGATTGGAAGGAGTATAATTGATATTTTGTTCGTTGGGATTTGCTACTCCGCGGAGTTGCCATCATCTAGTTGTGTTCTTCTATTGCCAGGCAAGCAAGGCAAGGTTTGGAAATATTTTTTGCCTCCACCCTTTTTTCTTCCTGGCTACGTCACTGTATAGAATGTTGATATAAATAAAATTATATTCAGGTTTCCGCCATACACTCGTATATACAAATTTGGAATTCGACCTCTAGGTGACCATTAAAAGGTCGAAAGGTAAAATCGCTCAAATGATACCATTGTAATTATTCTTAGTTTTAGTTTAGTTTATTTATTAAAGTGTCACAGGCCTATTATTTTACATAGTTATACGTTCTATTATTCAAAAGCCCCAAGCCAACAATGGCTTATGAGACACTGTCCATATCAGAAAAATTGCTTATGAAATTATTGATTTTGCCCGAATAAAAAAATATTATAGACACACAATCAGTCAATTACCAGTACGTCGAATAATCCACTCATTCTAAGAAGGCTTATTTATGATACATGTTGGCAATGAGAGTAATATCCATGACATTTCAAGTATATCAACAGCCGGCTATTGTTTGTTGAATCTCACTCACATAATGTTCTTTAAATTCCAATCAGGCGTGTGAGTGTGTGATTATACTGCACTTGCACAGAATTAATTGGGTCAAACTTTTTTGACCTTGGACCTTCATCATTAAATGACGTAAAAGTTGTTTCATATTCAGGTAGCCATCATATTTATTTTTTCCATAAAATGTGCATGTACCATCCCTAACATCTCCCAATCGGTAAATATATACTATCAAGCATGACCCAATGGCCTCAAATGATTAAAAATACATTAAGGATGGAAATTTTTTACCTGCCAATTTCATGAAGTTGTCATTGATCGGTTGAAAAAAATGCTTCAGTTTTAAAATGTTTTCTTCACTTACATAAGGATGAAATCTGTATTTATTTCTTCCCAAACACCCTGCATTGTCTCGCTGAATAGAGGGATTAATACAATAGTAACCAACAGACTTATGAAAATAAAATGTCTCGTTAGTATAGAATTTTTTTAAACCTAAAAACTTCTCAATTTCTTGCATGGCCAATGTTGGCTGGCTCATTAAAAATGTGTTTTCCATAATAAGAAATTGACTCCTTGGGAAGTATTTCAAGTATCTTTCCAGTGGTTTATCATATCTACTTCTTATTATAACCTCTTCGGTTGTATTAATGTAACCATCCTTATCAAATATGATATCTTCATATGATTTATCTTTTGAATACCTTCCATGTGCTTTATTGTGCACATAGGCAGATACTGCTCTCCTTACAGGGTCACAAACCAGTAAAATCAGCTTCAATGCGGGGTTCATTCTGTGGAGGTCATAAGGGTCAGCCAAATCAAAATATGCAGGGGTTTTCTCAAAGATAGTTTCATTTGGGAACGCCCTTGGGAGCATCTTGATATATCTTTTCAACTCTTCTTTAAATGGTCGTTTGTGATTGATAAGCTTGTCAAAAAAGTGGACCTCAGTTTTCATAACCTTTAGATTTGGATGGATGTTTAAGTATGCATTAAGTGCTCCCGTTCCACATTTCTGTATACCAATGTTGATAACTTCTGGTCGTTTTGCCATCCTAACGTCAGCATTAGTTTGTCTTGTAAAACTGTCTGCTGAATATCCATTAGTTTTAGATGTATAATGAATTTCAGAACTATTGTATTGTCTGTCCTCTCCCTCCTGTCTTTCCAAAGTATTGATGATTTTAACATTAACATTTTCTGTCATGCTCGTTTGAAACAAACGTGTTGGATCCAAATGGTGTGGATCTTTACTGAATGTTTCAATCGTTTCTTTTTTGTATAGATAAGTTATCCAAATAAACCCACATATGGTGAACAGTATTATGAGACATGCACATATTGGGTGAAAAAAACTAGATAGTTTTTGTTGAATGATATACATTTTCAGAGTTGATGTCCTTGTGTTGGCCGTTGGTCTCATTCTTTTAAGCATATCCTTAAGGCACTTTATTCCCTTTAAGCAAAATATTCTGGTACTTGACAGCATATTCCCTTTCAGAAAGGAGTTCATAGATCTTGATTATGCATTCTAGTTCATCTTAGTAATATCCAGTGGCGTGCATTAACTTTATTATTAATTTAGTTCCTGAATTTAGAGTAACTGCTCTCATTTTTCAATTAAGTGGCTATATAGAGTATAATTTTAAAATTACTCGGAGTATTTATATTAATTTGGCATCAACTGTTTGTTGTGTAATGAAATATGGATAGTGTATAGTAGAAATGCCTTCAAGTTGTATTGAAATAGTCTAACATGTAAAATACATTTGTCATAATCAAATAAATCAATCCATTGGACATTTATAGTTACACAAGATTTTAAAGCGATGACATAATCAGAGTAAAAGAAGGTGATAAGATTATGTGTTTATTCACTAGAAAATATTTCAACAGCAGTGATATAATATTATGATCAAAATTTATTTTATAAAGTTTTTGGTGAACATGTTTTCATTGGTGTAAGTTTAAGATGGTTATGATGCAAATAAGCTATTAAAGCACCAGGTCATGCTAACCCACTTGAGAAAACACATTGAATCGATATTTAGATCAAAAGTTGGTCCTCTACTGTCCGTTTCAAACTACCAGCTTTAACACTTGCATGAAGCAATAAAATCTAATCAAATGTGAATTAGGTAATCATCATTACAGCTGACAGGTCTGATACGGGTCTGACGAGTCAATATATCATTAATTGGTATAGGCGTTATACTTCATATAGCCATATAATCATGACATCATGTGAAGAGGACAATAGCACCCTTGGTATACGCAGCTAACGAAAATTGACTGGTACGGGTCAAAAGCTGGACCGGTACGGGTTAACGGTTTTATTTGAATTTAAAACAGCCATAACTTGCTCAATATTGACTTCCTCGTCTAATGTGAAAACTCACTGAAACTCACAAGATGTAAATAGCATGTCATTTACATCATACCTTGATTGGGAAAAATAGATCTTATATGTTAGAAGTACTAAATAAAAGTTATTGTGAAAATGAAACAGTCGTTCTCGAGAGAAAAGAGCATAAATGCGCATTTAGAGAGTTTTGGTCCGTTTAAAAATCTGTAAAAAATTGGGGTACTTAAAAGCATTGGGAGGCATCATATATTTCAAATTAGACACGAGGAAGTCAATATTGAGCAAGTTATGGCTGTTTTAAATTCAAATGAAACCGTTAACCCGTACCGGTCCAGCTTTTGACCCGTACCGGTCAATTTTCGTTAGCTGCGTATACCAAGGGTGAATAGAATTAAGAATTCCTTACTCATTTCCATTCTGATACGCATCACATTTTTCTGTCTTCAACTGGAAATATGCTCTGATTAAGTTGGCTACAATTTGCGATCTGATATCATCAGATGGGAGGGGTACAGCATACTAAGTGCAATGGTTATCATGTATTTATTGCCCTTTATGTTGAACACTACAAAGTGTTACATAATATTGTAGTGCAACTGTCATTAGTTGTAAACTCTATCATCTATGGATGTATCAACTCAATTTAGTTTAATGACCCCAATTAGGTTGAGATAAAGATGTCCATCAAGATTTCCATAGTCTTTAAAACAATCTCATTGGTCAGTAGCTCTATAATTTATTTGATTGGTCGTCAATGTTTTCAAGAAAACTGAACGAGCCAGATCGAAAGTAAGCTCCAACTCTCTCATGGCATACTTGAGTGAAGCTAATAGAAGGCCATGCTTTCTCATGACAGGCCCGTAGCCAGGGGGGTTCAAAATCATGCAGTTTTTCATCATTCTGAACACATTTTAAGTGATTTTGGCCATTTTTGGACCAAAATTGTCAAAAGTGAACCCCCCCTGGAAATTTTCAAAAAGTGAACCCCCTTTGGCAAATCCTGGTTACTGGCCTGCATGATGTCTCATTTCTGCAAGTTTCCATTCAGAAAGGACAGGTGGCGGTAAACCCCTCTTTTAGCCCCCCTACAAAACAAGTATATATTGACATGGCATTGAAGAGGAAGTATGACTCATTGCTTAAAATGTGATTTCTGAGAGTTTTGACATTTGACCTTGACATTAGGGTGGTTTAAAGGTCAACTTTGAGAGTTGCTATTTTTGTCAAAATTTTACTGTTTCTAATCCAAGAAATGAGAGCAATTGGCTTTGTTTTGATTGTGACTGATAAAAAGACATGTGAATAGAAATAATTTTTTTTTAAATAAATTATCACGGGCAATTACCTGAAAATCTTGAGAATAAATACTGATATGGGCATTTTTAGGGGGACTAAATTTTCTTGTTTCAAAAACGATTGCTCTTGTTGCCTTTTGAGACGCTAACAGTATCCTAAGCATGTTTTAAGAGTTGAGATAAAATTAGGATAAAATGACTGAAATTAAATGCACACAAGGGCACTTCAAAAAGAATGGACTTTCTTATTTCAATTGCTTCTCGCAAGTTTTCTAAACATGTTTACCATATTCTAAATAGTTATAGGGTCACTTTTACTAAGTGCCCATTGGCATTTGGCATTTTATTTGGCATTTGAAATTAAAATGTTTGAATGTACACTTTTAAAGTTATTTGCCAATTTGCAGTTCCCATATTTGAAACACAAATAATTCAGAGAAATCCTCTCTCAATATATATCATAAAATATAAGGCAGCATCATGTATGAATGGCATGACACTCAGATTGCCTAAAATAATTTCTACTTATTCCCTATTTAGAAAACACTTAGGCCGTAAAAAATATTTTCTTATAATAATGTCACTAAATTCTATGTTTTCAGAAAAAACAAAATGTCCCCATGTACTCTCTACTTGTAATGTATATAAATGACAAAGGGAATTGTGATCTTGGATTATATTGTAGCGAAATGAGTTCCAAGATTGATTAAAAACTACATGTATATAAACTTCATTAACAAGGTCATCTGAACTCAAGAGGTGTGTTACTTGCTTTGGTACAATGTGTTATTGCATTTTCACTCTTAAATAATATATAAAACCCTTTAAATAAATGAAGGTTTTGTAGTTTTTAATATAAGGCTCTTCATCAGAATGCCAACATATAATTAATTTTGGATGGCCTAATCTGTACATGCAGTTATGTAGTGTACATGTATGCCCAGGTTAGCAGCCATATTGAAAACATAAACCAGTCAGGCTTATTTTCATCACAAAAGTTAAGTTTTAGTGGTGAGCCCAAACTCCCACAAAAATGATATTTGCAGAGAAGTTACTTTACAGTCTCTGCATTATACAGTTTCAATATATTTTTTGTGGGAGTGTGGGCTGACTGTTAATTTTTCAATGAAAGGGAATGAGCACCATGCTAAAACTTGATAACAAAGTGAACAAAAAATGACAATGTTTTCTAGATTTCCATAGGTAAACTACATACATCGCTTGATTTTGTCAATTTTCTTCTCCGAATACTTGTATGCCATATGTTCCATATATTAAATTCTATATAATGATAAGTTTTGATATTATTTTGATGGTAAACATAATGTTTACCCATATTCAGACAGCCTTGTGATAGGGGTTCTTACTGCCAATTTTTCAAAGAAACAGAGAACTTATGCCACTTTTTGAAATTGCACATCTCAAGAAGAAAGGTTTATCTACAACTTGCAATCGGTTTTAAAAGTAAATGGAAGAATGAGTTTTTCAGAAAAAGTCAAAGTGGACCAATAGTCTGTTAAATGGACCTGTTCTTTATTCTTTCCCTTCAGCCCTCACTGCAGCTCATGAGTTGGCCATGGCCTACTGTTATTCATAAGTCAGAAATCTATCACTTCAGCCTATGGTGTCTATGTGAGATAATTGTTACTCAAATAAAATTTTTAAAAAAATCATTTTAATGAGGATGTGAGTACTATTATTTCACTCATATGGGTTCTCATTTAGTAGTAAAAATCAATTTTATGAGTACTATTTCATCACTCATAATATAATTACTCATTTAGTGTTGAAAATCAATTTTATGAGTATTATTTTATCACTCATAATATGAGTACTCATTTAGTGCTGAAAATCAATGTTATGACTACTATTTTATCACTCATAATATGAGTACTCATTTAGTGCTGAAAATCAATTTTATGAGTACTATTTTATCACTCATAATATGAATTAGATCTTTTCATTGGTCATTGTATGAGAACTCATTTAGTTCTAAAACGTGCAATAAATCAGTACTCATAATAGTGCTCATCTAATACTAATATTTACTGAGTACTCTATCAACGCTAAAATGCCATGAGCATCAATTAAGACCTCAGCAAATCTCCCTTTGTCCATATGAAGATGATATAGACCAATGTGTTATTTTATTTGCAGGACTATAGGAAAAAGCTGTTTAAGAAATTATTTGCATATATCAAACATAAAAGTAAAAGAATCAGCGCATTTGCCCTCTCCATATTTACTGCCCTTTGCAAGGATGAAGACTTTGGGCAATTGGTAAGTACATCATGGTTTTTATTGACCCTTAAACTGTTAGGGGGATGCCCCCTAAGGAATTTTTGATAACTTTTTTATTCATTGTATGTCTTTTGATCTGATCTGATACTTTTTAGCTTTTCTTTAAATTGCATTAGGCATGAAATCTGCCCCCCCCCCTAACCATTGGTGTAGTTCTCTATAGCCTAACCAACCACCAAGTGATCAGAAGTCATTATTTTGGTTCATTTTTTAAAAATATTTCATATCATATATATTATTTATATATTACATGTATTATATAAAATAACTTTATAACACTATGCTTATATATACATTTTTGTTTTCAGCTTTATGATTCCAAAAACATCAACCAGACATTCCAGATGATGTTTAATACATTGGTTAAAGGAGACACCATGGCACGTAAATACTTAGTAGATCTCTTCATAGATTTGCTAATCAACTCCAAGGTCCAGGAGTATTTAGTTGGGTAAGTTAATAATTATAGCACTAAGGCCCAGGCAATTCAGACCCTATTTGTTATATAGGAGGCACATTAAACCATTGTCAACTGCTTTTGTCAGAAACCAACCGAAAGGAATATTTAGAATTCTTCATCACTCAACACCAGCCGGATAGAACTAACTCAAGCTCATCTCATTTTAGATGAGAGTTACTCTGGCTAGTTTCAATCTGCTGCCAGGACCATTGCTGTTGTCTCTGGTATGTTATTCTAGATACTATCTAATGTGATTGCAATGTTGACTTTTTCAGCTTTCCCAGTGTACAGCCTTGTATGAAGCAGATTTTGAGTCTCCTGGGGTCTGGTGAAGGGGAGATTGTCTATAAGGTAAGTCCTTCTAAATCATTTTCCTTATTACGTCACTATCAGAACTGGAAGTGGTGACTTATCGTTATAGTCCCCAACTTTTTGTGTGGACAATGTTCAGCGGTTGGCAATCGTCTGTAACAAATGTCAGGTGGTGACATTTTGCATTTAAATGCCTTGTATATTCACAGATACTAGTTTTCTGCATGATAAATTGATGTAGCAAGGGATACGGAAGACAGCTACTTTCTAGGTAAGAACTGCGCGTCATTAGCGAACTCGCTTTAGCGAATTTAAACGTGATAGAATGTTGAATTTCACGGTGAAATCGTACTTGTACTCAATAATGATTGATTGTTGGACATAAACAGACACTCTTCAAATACCCCGCAAAGGTAGGAGATCGTAAAATATGTAATTTCTGGAAATTCTAGTAATTCCGCGGGATTTTCATGAAAATCAGGGATTCTGCAAAAAATTGAAGTTTTGTCAAATTCCGTCCACGCCGCAGAATTACGGAATACTAGTATCTATGTATATTCACTGATATACAAAAGGTATAATTTTGCAAAAATTTTAATGAAATTAATGCCATGTTGCCTATGAGGGAAGTCATTCATCTTGTGCTTTGTGCTTCCTTTCATGATAATTGTCTTAGGGTGAACAAATAGTCACCAACGCCATTCAGTGTCAGACATATCAGGTTCTACCTTGGGGTCTTGACTGTCATGCCAAACAGTTTCCTGTATGTAATCTGTGAGCTGAAAACCATAACGAGCTGTTCACTTTTTAATTTTGAAATTGAAAACTTTGCACCCACTCAAAATATAACTTCATGAGATCAATGAGTGTGTTTAGTTTGCTGTTCTGGAACAAGTGATTATCTTGATGAATTTATTTCGAAATTTCACAATTTTTTTTTTAGTTGGTGTTTAACATGAGGTTCATAAACTGTGATGCGTTTTTTTTTTTTTTTTAGCATACCTAATAAGATACATGTGTCTATGGTAAAAACAATTAGGGGAAAAAAAATTATGTTTTGGTATATTAAACTTTCATACATTCATACCTACATACATACATACACCACTCATACTCATTTGTGCACATTCATTCTCACTCAGTAAAAAGAAAAAACAAATAGATCATTTATTAGTCTATGTTTTCATATATGTATTTCCATTCTTCACAGGTATTATTATAATTTGCCACGTTCACATAATGTTTGAGGCTTATTACAAAGTCAAAGAACACAGGTTTTGTTTTCTTCAGAAAATGTTTATAAATACAATGTTTCATGATTAAAATCAGAGTATTGAAATTAAAATATTTGTCGTCTTTTGGCTTATGGCCATACAGTATATCTTTGTTACTTAACGCTATGTTATAATTATATTTTGAAACAAACACTTGAAAATCAGCCCATAGAGCTTTTGTAACATTACAATTCAAAAACATGTGGTTTATTGTGTGGACATCATCACAATATGGACAGATGGCTGATTCATCTATTTTCATAATGAATAGTTTTTCACCGCAGACAAGAATATTATGCAAGATTTTAAATTGGAATTCCTGTAAGTATTTGTCCTTTGTCATTTGACGGGGGAGTAGGTAGTAGTCTTTGGTTTCTTCCTCACCTATATATTGTTTTATCTTCCCTATGGCTGTTGGTAATTCAGTGTTTCTTTTGTTCAATATGGAATAGGCTGCTTTGCATGTTATGGACTGTGGATTGAGAGGAAATTTTGTTGGTATTTCTGGAGCTTTCTGGTTTTCTTTTAAGAGATGTTTCCATTCTTTTGGTATTGCAGAAATGAGACCATTGTATTCTAGATCATTTAATGTTACTCTGTATTGTGTTTGTAGTTCTTGTTTTGACATAAATCTATTCTCTGTGTTCCTAATATCTCTTATTTGGTTTACTCCTTCTGCCGATAGTTTATTATTAAAACTAGATTTTCCAGCTATCAAAATATGTTGATTATTCCATAGGAGTTGATTCAATACTTCCTCGCTACTGATAGGCTTTCTGTCTCCTCTGACTTCTTCCCATCCTTTAAGAATTGAATTGTAAAAAGCTGGTATATTCTTTAATTTAGTGGTTTCTAATTTATAATTTGACTCAAATATCAAGTTTCCTCCAACTTCTTTTAAATAGAAATGTGGTATAATTTTCCATTTTCCACCCTCTTCTGATGTTAAACGTTTTATCCATGAAACTTTAAGTGCTGTATCTAGTGTTCTGAAGTCAGGCATTTTTAATCCCCCGTCACAAATGTTTCCGATCATAGTTGTTTTTTTAATTTTTGCAGGTTTATGACCCCATACAAAGTCACTTATAATGGTATCAATTTCTTTTATATACTTTTCAGGAATATTATCAACAGTAGCAATATTTGTAATCTGTGAAATACCTTGAGCCTTTGCTAATAAAATTTTACCCTCAAGTGTAAGGTTCCTCCTCGTCCAAATGTTGAGTTTACTTTTTATTTTATCTATCTTTTTAGTTATGTTATTACGGATGGATGTTTCGTTTGAATAGGTAAAGCAGTACCCCAGTGCCGTTACTTCATTCGTTTTCTTTATTTCTTTGTAATTATCTTGTTTGGTTTTGTTAGATCTGATCCACATCAGTTCCGATTTATTTTTGTTGATTTTAAGTCCAGAACTATTCTCGAAATCGTTCATTGTTTTCATTAATTCATCTATAGATTTTTGATTTCTCAATATTACAGTGAGGTCATCTGCGTATAAAGAGATTTTCACCTTCTCACCTTTTATATCAATGCCTTCAATATTCTCATTTTTCCTTATTGATACTGCTAAAATTTCCATTACCAATATGAACAATATTCCTGCTAATGGGTCTCCTTGCCGTACGCCTCTTTGAATCCTAAAATAGTTTGATGTTTGACCGTTATTAAGTATACAGCTCTCATTTTTGTTATATATACATTTAAAATACTGAATGAACTTATCTCCAAAACCGAATGCTTCCAAAATTCTCTCAATGAAATACCACTCCACAGAATCAAATGCTTTCTGGAAATCTAGAAACAGCAGGAGGCCTGGTATATTAGCTTCATCAGTGTATTTCATAATATCTTTCAAAAGTCTTACATTTGTTCCAAGAAATCTATTTTTAACATAACCTGTTTGATCTGGATCTATTATAGTTGGAAGGATGTTTCTGAGTCTTTGAGCAAATACTTTGGTCATTAGCTTGTAGTCCGTGTTTAAGAGAGAAATGGGACGCCAGTTAGCTAATTTTGTCCTGTCTTTTGTCTTTTTAGGGATTAAACTTATGATGCCACGTCTCTGTGAAGTAGATAGTTCACCATTTACTAATGCAAAGTTTAAGCTATTGATTAATTCAATTTTAATATTATTCCAAAAGGTGATGTAAAATTCGGCTGGGAGACCATCTGTTCCTGGTGTTTTGGCTTTTTTGAAGGTTTTAAGTACTTTTATGCATTCAGTTTCACTCATTAGTTGCTCACATTTAAGTTTATCATTAACACTTATTTTTGGAATGTCATTTTCAAAAAAGGTATTGTTGATTCTGGTATTTTGATCCTCGTTAAACCTAGAAGAATAAAGTTTTTCATAAAAAATTTTCTGTTCCTCTAATATTTCCTTAGGCTCTGATATCAAATTTCCATCTTCCTTTGTAATTTTACTCACAACTTTATTCGATGATTGATTTTTCTCCAGGTCGAAAAAATATTTTGTAGACCGTTCTCCATCTTGGTACCACTTTGCCTTAGATCTAATGATGTGACCCTTTGTTTTGTGTTCTTGAATTAGTTCTAACTTTATTTTTATTGATTTTAATTCATTTATGTTTGCTTCATTTGGTTCTCTATCAACTTGTATTTGAGCTAAATCTGCACTAACAATTAATCTCTTTTCCTCTTCTCTCTTTAGTTTTGCTTTTTCTTTAGAATATTTAATACAAGATTCTCTTATTTTCATTTTCATGAAATCCCATTTTATTCTTGGGTCAGCTAAATCTTTGGATTCTTCTTTTATTTCCTCTATTGTAGTGATCATTTTTTCTTTAAATTCTTCATTTTGTAAATGTGATGTGTTTAATTTCCAGAAGCCGGAACCTTTCCTCTTATAGTCTTTGGATTTAAGTGTAATTTGAGTGCCTAGGTGATCTGGGGATGGTGCAGTTATTATATCACTACTCGCGTTGTCTTCCAAATGGGAGCTCATGTCAATATGCAAGATCATATTGGCCAGCAAATGGCGATATTTCTCTCAGTCCCTCAGGAACATGCCATTATGATCTTTCAGCAAACCAAATGTACAATCTGTTGATGTATTGGGTGTTGGGTCTCCATCAAAGTTTATATATCGTTTTATCAAAGTGCATCATCAATATGAGAAAAATGCTGTACTAAGCTTATACAAAAAACGTTGGTTTTATAGTAGAATTTGTATAAAATTGACAAAATGTGACATCAACTGTTGTATTTTCCCGATAACTCCGGGGTTTGTGGCGATGTAGAATTCAAATGTCAATAAATTCGGAAATATAAAAGATATGTGCCTGAAATTCATGTCAGTTATTCCCCAAAGTGTGTTCAATAAGTGTACCAAATTTGAAGAAAAATCACCCATGCCTCTCAGAAAATTCTCATGAGTTCTGGGACACCCTGTAAGTCCTTGGTGATGTTTATATTTTGTGTTGATGAAATTATCCAACTACATTTCTCACATTCTAAAATCACATTTTAACAGCATTAATGGTTGCAATAATGGAAATCGGAATGAATAATTCAATAGTTTTCAAGAACGACATCAGAATTTAGATTATTATCTGTTGATGAACAGTTTTAACAGTTAATAATGCGTTTTATTACTGTGTTGTTTACCTGTATACGGTAAAACACTTGAAGGTGAACATGTCTATCATTCACCCAGGGATAATTTTCAGAGATGGTAAATTCTCAATTTCACAATTTTGATCATGGTTTTCTCATTCTAATGTACTTGGGTGCAAATGGGAT